CAGGATCCAGGCTGCCCAGCACTATGCGTCTAGCCCTAGCCCACTCCTTGTTGGTAATGCATACACTACAGACCACTGTCTTCCCCACTGTTGCTGAGTGAGGCTCTCTCTGAGGCTCTATATACTTCTTCAGCGACATCAAGAGCAAACTGCCAGCCCACAGGTAAGTCCAGCTGAAGAAAAGTTCATTTGGACTGCACAGTACCTTAAAAAATTTAATTAAGCCTTAAGAAACTAAAAAAAAAAAAAGAGCAAACTAAACCCAAAGCAAGCTAAAGTTAGAAAATAATAAAGATTAAAATAAGAAATCAATAGCCCTGACTAATATGGCTCAATTGTTTGGGTGTTGTCCCATGCACCAAAAGGTTGCCGGTTCAATTCCCAGTCAAGGCATAGGCCAGGGTTTTGAGCTCGATCCCTGGTAGGGGACATGAAGGAGGCAGCCAATAGATGTTTTTTCACTCTCATATCAATGTTTTACTCGCTCCCTCTCCCTTCTTGTCTCTCTCTCTCTCAAAAAAAAAAAATCTTTTTTTTTAAAGAAATAGAATAAAAAATGAAACCAAAAGTTGGTTATTTGAGATCAACAAAATTAACAAGCCTTTAGCAAAACTGGCCAAGAAAAAGAGAGAAGGTACAAATTACCAAAACCAGGAATGAAAAAGTGATCATTATTGACCTTACAGAAGCTAAAAGGATTATAAGGAAATACTGGGAACAACTTTAAGACAAGAAATTAGGAAGTTTAGACAAAACAAACATATTATGAGAAAGATACAAATGATTTAAAGTGACGCAAAATGAAATAGAAATCTAAGTACACCTAAAACAAGTAAACAAATTATTGAATTAGTAATTAAGAGAAAGCTACTGACCAATATCTCTTATGAATATAGATAAAAATCTGCAACAAAATATTAGCAAACCAAGTCCAACACCATATAAAAATAAAAAGGATTATACACTATGATCAAGTGGAATTTATTCTAGGAATATAAGGTTGTTTTAATATCAAAAAATCAATGTATTGCCATGTTAGTACAATAAAGGACAAAAACCACACAACAAAATCCAACATCCATACATAATAAAACCTCTCAATAAACTAGGAATAGAAGGGAACTTAGCCTGATAAAAGTTATATACAAAAAAACCTACAGCTAACACCATACTTAATGGGGAAAGACTGAATACTTCTCCCTAAAATTGGAGAAGTGTCTGTTTTCACCAATTATATCCAAGATTGTACTGGAGGTCCTAGCTGGTACAATCAGGCAGAGGGATTTTTTTTGTTTTTAATGGACATCAAGAGTATGTCATTCTACTCAAAACTCTCCAGTGACTTCCTATTTCACTCAATATAAAACCCTACACGGTCTGGGTCCTTGTCTAACCTTGTGACTTCTCCATAATCCACTCATACGTACAGCCTTGCTTACTTCATCTCTAGCCACACTGACCCCTTTTATCAAACACAATAAGCACACTCCTGTTTCAGGGCCTCTGAACTTGCTGAACTCTATGCCTGAAATGTTATTCCCCAAGATATACAGTATATCTTACTACTTCAGTTACTGCATATTTTTGCACATATTTTATTTTCTCACAGAAGCCTTCTTTCATCACACGGCCCCTCCCTATCCCCTTATCCAACTTTATTTTTCTTCATAGTATTCATTTATCTATTTTCCTTCACTAGAATGTAAACTACAAGAGGGAAGAATATTTTCTTCACTGCTACATTTCAAACACTTAAAACTGCCTGGCACATGGTAGACATTCAAATACTCACTAACTGACTGAATGTCTTTAAAAAGAAAATGTTATATAGGAGAATGAAAAAAAAGGGGGGTGGGGGAAAGAACGACTAGCCCAAGAGGCTGAAAAGGACCAGGGTTTTGGATCACAGAGAATGAGCGAACATAGGACAGCAGAAAAACTTGGTTTTCTGAAGCCAGAGTCTTCTGGATTCTAAGCTTATCTCTTCCAATCATGGTCTATTGTGTCCCTCTCTAAATCTCAGTAATTTATAAAATCACCACCTAACTCCTAAGTTGCTATGAAAATGAAATCAATTTATGTATAGCACATAATAGACATTATAATTAACATTTTCTGATACCTCTGGCCTTCAAGAGCAACCTAAAATTACCTTAAAAATTACCACTTACTGAAGCACAGATATGTCCGTAGGGCTGTTGCCCCTAAATTAAATGGCCTCCATACTCATTTTAGCTTCTTTCTTATCATTCTTCTTTCACCTCCTCCCTTACTGTTGGTTCTCAGCTCTCACCACTAGCTACTGTCAGTAGAGCAGCTCCTCCCTGCTTTTTTATATGCTGCTTTTAATTTTATGGGGGTATAGAAACCAAACTGCTAAACTTGTTACAATAACATGTAATAATAAGAATAAATTAGTGCTGTGCAAGGGCTTAAGGATGAAAATGACTTGCTTCCTCCTTGTTCTTTAGTCAGGCTCTACAAAACTGAGGATGTTAGATAAATACGCTACTATATGGATATCAGTATTTTATATATTTTTTTAATGCGGAATCATTCAAATTTTAAAATTGTCAATGGTGGAACTTCTTCGCAGGGTAGTTATTATAAGAACAATAAGATCCAAACGTGGGCCCTGGCTGCTGTGGCTCAGTTGCAACAAAAGGTTGCTAGTTCCTAGGTCAGGCACATGCCTAGGTTGCCTGGGAGGTGTGGGGGAGTGAGCAGGAGGCAGCCAATAGATGCTGCACTCTCACATTGATGTTTCTCTCTTCTCCCTTCCTCTCTCTCTAAAAATCAATAAACTAGTCTTTAAAACAAACAAATAAAGATCCAAAGTTGGCAACCAGGACATGAAAAAGCCAGAAGCTATAAAACTTTAGATTAACCAAGCAAAAAGAGGTGGCAAACAAGAGTCTGGGGATTCAGAATAGGAAGGAAGGTTGGCCAACCAAGAGCACCAGGTAGGGGACAGACCCCTCTGTGCACCCTCAGGCAGACAGAGGGAAGAAGAGAATGTCCATTGTTACATGGTATTAAGAAAGTGGCCCCCATCACTGGCCAAGGGTGAGAAAGAGATGGTGGGGAAACATGACCTCTGATAAGTTATGAGGCCACATGTGTAAGTGCCTTTCTCACTAGCAGTTGCGGGTGGGAAAGGCGGTGCCTGGAACCTACAGCCAAAATAGGAATAGCCTTCCTCTTCTGAGATGACAGTAGGGAACAAGGCAACATATTAGTAGAACTAGTGGTTGAGTGCAAACACATGCTGGGAATGAGCTCTTGAAAACGGCTTTAATATCTGTGCCGGCAGTGGCCTTGGAGCCAGGCTGTGTGAGTGCATTTAAACCTGCATTCGGCAACCAACATGCTGCAAATCATGGCTGCTGATGCTGCCTGGCTCTGTCTCTGTGCCCTGAGATCCCTTCCCTTCTGAAAAGATTGAGCTTTGGGAAGGGCCTGCAGAAGGACAGAAGGACATGGGAAAAGATTTACAGTACAAATTTCCAAAGGAAACCCCGCCCTTTTACTTTTGGGAAACGGAATGACAAATAGGTCAGGGACTGAGATGTCAGGGACACTTAAGTTTTCTTCAGGGACACTTAGGTTTTCTTTTTACTTTCTCTCATTTCGGTCATGCTGCTTTACAATTTACAAAGCTTTCCAACTTCCATTTCTCATTTGATTCTCTATAACATCCTCCTTGGTTACTGTACACACAATAGACATGTGAGGTGTGGGGAGCACTCCAATTTTACAAATAGGATAATGGATATTGTCCAAAGGCAGATATTGAGAGAGAAGATAAAAACCCACGATTCTCAGCTCCAACCCAGCTCTCCAGATTCCTGTCTGTTCTGGTCCAAGTGTTTATAGAACCCAATGTGTAACAGGTGTTTTCTTCTGTATTTAGCCTAGGCCTCTGCCTGCTTGAAGGGTTCTTCTTATCATTTTTAGCCTCTTATCCCCTCACTAGCAATGCCATTGCTCAGAAGGCACCCCCAACTGCTACCTGCCCTGCTGGGCCCCTCAAATAACTGGACCTCCTTTCTGAATCTCTAAGGAGGTCTGTCTTCTTGAACTTTTAAGAAAAATCAGTATTCCAGGGAGATTAGCAACGCAAAGAAAGCCTGCCAAGTCAGGGAGAACAATGCTATTTACAGTTAGGCTGACCTAGGTTCTAACATCAGCTTTGCCCAGGTATGAACCCTAGGCAAATTATTTTAGCTGCCTGAGCCTCCATTCCCTCATCTATAAAATAGGGTTTTGTCTAGAGTAAATAAGATCCATAACACAATTGGTTCTTAAGATGTTGATTTCCCGCCCTGACCAGTGTGGCGGTCGTCCCATGCACAGCATGGTTGCTGGTTCAAATCCTGGGAAGGGCACATGCCCAGGTTTCGGGCTCGATCCTTGGTAGGGGGCATGCAGAAGGCAACCGATTGATGTTTCTCTCTCATTATCGATGTTTCTCTCTCCCTTCTTCTCTCTAAAAATCAATAAAAATCTTTAAAAAATAGATTGATTTCCCTTCCCATCTCATTATCTGCTGTCTTCCCTCTAAGCTCCCCCTGACTTCCCCTTCACACAGCTCTACTCGATCACTCCACCCTCACCACTGTTCATGATCACATTTTGCAGGACTGATAAAACTACAGGATTTTCTAAAGCGGACTTATGGGCTTGGTAGGGCACAGTCAAGACTGGAATCAGGAAAGTCTCTAAGGGCTATAGGGTCATGTTAAGAGAGCTTGTGGGAACTGCCAGGCTCAGAGCTGCAGCACAAAGCAGCTGGTGGAAGCCAGAAAGCATTGAACCTGCTTTGCCTTATTCATGGGAAAAGACCATCTCATGACAACTCCAGTAAAGCAAGTTCAGTTTTCCTCTCAATACAGGAGGCTGCCTATGTCAATCTCTTAGACATGGAATAGAAGAGTAATCACCTATAAGTTATCTGTAGTAAGGGTAAAAATAAGCCCCAAACTAGTTACTCTCTGTACCTTAGCCCAAGCTTGCCAGTTTGCCTCACTCACTGAGGCTGAACTCAGTCTGCGATTACAGGATCAGCACCAGCTGCCTCTGGGAACAGGGCTCACCTATAACAGAGAGGGAATTCAGTCAGGGTCCCGCTCAGAATTTAGGTATGTGCAGGCATTCAAAGTCCCTGCCCTCACCCTGGTTGGTGTGGCTCAGTTGGTAGGAGCAGCGTCCAGTACCCCAAAGAGTCTTGGGTTCGATTCCAAGTTGGGGCATATACCTAGGTTTGATCCACAGCCCTGGTTAGTGGGGCCTGTGCAGAAGGCAACTGATGGATGTCTCTCTCTCTCTCTCTCTCTCTCTCTCTCTCTCTCTCACACACACACACACACACACACACACACACACTCTGAAAAATCAATGAAAATGTCCTTGGGTAAGGATTAAAAATATAAAATAAACAAAGTCCCTGCCCTCACATGTCTTGCATCCTAGCAAAAGATAGGTTAATAATTAAATATATCATTGCAGGTCATGATAAGTGCGATTTAAAAAAAAAAAAAAGCAGAGTAAAGGAAGAAAGAATGAGAATGAAGTCTATTTTTAAAAAATTTATCTTTACTGCTGAAAGTATTACAGATGTCCTCTTTTTCCCCCATTGACCCCTTCCACCTATCCCCAGGCCTTCACTGCACTATTGTCTGAGTACATGGGTTATGCATATATGCATATAAATGCTTTGGTTAATCTCTTCCCGCACCACCGCCCCCTTCCCTCTACAATTCATCAGTCTGTTCCATGCTTCCAGTATCTCTGGACCTATTTTGTCATCAGTTTATTTTGTTCATTAGATTCCACATATAGTGACATGATCATGTGATATTGTCTTTTTCTGACTGGTTTATTTTGCTTAGCATAAAAACCTCCAGGTCCCTCCAAGCTGTTAATGAGGTCTATTTTAGGTAAAATGGTCAGGAAAGGCTTCTTCAAGAATTGACTACTAGACAGAGACCTGAATAAGTATGGGGTAAGATCTGCAAAGCTCTAAGGGAAGAGTGTTTTAGAGAGGAGGGAAATAACAAGTGCAAAGGCCCTGAGGCAATAGGCAAAAATAAGTTGATTCTGCTTAAGGAGCAAGTAAGTCAATAAGTCAATATAGCTAGAATGCAGTGATGGGAAGAATGACATACTAGATACACATGGAGAAATTACTCATTCTCCTTATTTTACGTATGAGAAAACTGAGCCTCAGAGGTTAGGTGACTTGTCCAATATCAAAGGATGTCAGTGGCAGAACTGGGAATGGAACTTGGGTCTTTGGAACAACTCTAACTCTATCTCACTCCTGCGCCAGGTTTAGATAACCTAGGACAGAGCTGGGACAAACTTTTAAGTACTCTGAGATTACTTAGATAAGTTTCAGATTTCTCTGATCATCCCCTCCTCTGCTGGGTGAGGATGGCTGAAGAACAGAGAAACCCTATATATTATCTGGAATGTGGAATAAACATGACTTTGGGATAAGGAGAATAGGAGCACATGCCAGGCATTGTTGTAAACCCTTTGTTTGTATTACAACAATTTTGTAAGGTTGGTGTGTTGTTATATTTCCCATTTTACTAATGGGAAAATGGAGGTACAGAGACATTAAATAAATGTGCCCAGGTTACAAAGCCAATACTAGTAGATGATAGAGTTGGGACATGAACCCAGGAAATCCAGCGTCTAAGGCTTGGCCTTCTAACCACACACTATGCCAATTCTCAAAAGCAGAAGTCAGGAAACATGTTCTCTAGTCCTAGCTGACATGGCTCAAAGACCCCATTTATACCCAAGCCTGAGATCGTCTCCATTTACTTGCAGTCCAGGCTTTTTACTGAATACCAGCTGAATGACTCCTGAGTCCTTCAGCCAGGTGGTTCCAGAGACTTCTCTAATTCTGTAGCTACTGTAATCACAAGCTATGATGATAACCACAAAAATAGCCATTTCATAGCCACTAACATTTAACACACATTTTGAAATTAGACTAGGTACTAGGCTAAGCACCTTACATGTACTATCTTATTTCAGAGAGGGGAAAAAGAATTGTTCTAAGACACAGGTAGAGGGATCTGTGAGGGACTCCAGGCTTGAAAAAAAGAACACATGGAACTGAAGAATCTCTGTAAGCCAGGGTAAAGGAACTGGGACAGAGGCATTAGGGGATTGGTGGTAAGGGCATAGACTATTAGCACCTTCAATTCAACATGTCAATAGACTGAACTCATCTCCTGTTTCCCACCTCCATGATTCAGCAAGTAGAATAACTATTCTCCAAGTATTAGACTCCAAATGTTCATGTTCTCCACCTCCTCCTTCCCTCCTTCCCCATTCTCACAATTGTGAAATCCTTGTGGGTTTTTTTGCTCTAAGAGCTCTACATCCACACTGTTCTTCATTATTCCCTACTGTGTCAACTTCCTCTTCGTTCAGGATCTCATTACCTCTTGCCTGCACAGCTAGAGTATTTCTTAAAATGTGCTGACATTATAAAGATAGACTGTTATAGTAGCCTCTTCCCTGGTCCTTATTTCACTAGTCTCCCTTCACTTCTCCTGTTCCAATCCATTGGGCACACACTGTCAGACTAATGTTCCTAATGCTACTCTCCTGCTCAAAAAAAAAAAAAAAAAAGGGGGGGTCATAGTCCCAACCACCTCAGACTCAGTCCATAGGTATGCCATGACCTAGTCAACATCTGCCTTATGTCTACCTTGGGCCTTCCAAGCTCTCATACATTTTTTGTCCATGCCATTGCCTCACCTGGAATACTTGTTTTCAGGCATTGTTTGGTGCGCTTTGTACATGTACTATGTACTTTGTACGTATTCAAATCCTTAATCTTCAAAGCCTAGAAAATCAATGAAGTTATCCTAAACCCATTCTCGCCACTTTCTGTCATGTTCTTGAAACATCTCTGACTGTGGCTCTGGCCTCACCATTAGCTAAGGCCTCAGAACTATAGTCCCCCTGTTCCTTCTTGCTTATAAAAATTTGTACTGCTTCCAAAGAATGGAAACCTAGTCAGTTAGGATTTCTATTCTCATTCCTGTTACTCTGATTTTACACTGGAGCTATCTCTTAACAAAAGACCTGGATTCTAATCTGAGCCTCAGATTCCTCAGCTACAAAATAGGGATATAATTCCCATCCTGCCTATAACAGAGGGATTATGTGAGAATCAATGTGGTAATAGAAAAGGGGGAAAGTTAGGATGGAAGACTCCCAGCCAGATCTTTATTTAACAGCTCTTTCTGTCAGCTGCAATACACTGAGAATGAGAACAGTCCTTATTCTTGGGCTCCTTGCAGTTCAGGGTGAGTTTGTGTCAACTTCCTGCAAAGAACTACTAACAATATTAGGCAGATCTAACAGTTCAGAGTGCCATAAAAGTGGAGAAAGAAATGTCTGACTGGATGTGGCCTCAGAAGCTTCATAGAAGGAATAAGGACTTACTTAAGCCAGGTCTTGATGCAAGGTAATAGAAAGGCTTGGGCTACTCTGCACCAAGCACTGAACTAGGCATTATGCTATTAGCCCTGATGATACTCTATGAAGCAGGGGATGGCATGTCCATTTTATAGCAAAGGTAACTGAAGATGGGTAAGGCTATTTGTCATTCAAGGTCAAACAGCTAGTAAGTAGCAGAGCCAGGATTTGAACCTAGGTCTGCTTTACTTTACTTGAAAGCCTATGTGCTTTACTTACTTACTTCATGGTCTGCCTTACTTCATTATGTAGCAACATGAAAGGAAAAACAGATAAAGTCCTTTTTACCTCAAAATCCAATTATTTGAATGGGGGGAGGAGGGAAAGGAGGTTTACTGCTGCTATGTCTTCCCCATAAGACTGATCTTATGGCAGATTTAGGGTCTTATTAACTGGAATAGTCCACGTATCTGGCAGAGAGCCTGCCAGGTATGAGACACTAAGTATTTGAGGAACATGTGAATGAATAAATGAATGAATAAACACCTGCCCCAGCACCTTGGTTCTGAGGTCTAAAAGTAAAGTCCAATATCTCAAGCTCCATGTTCTGACTCTCAGCCCCAGTACCTATAATATCAGTATTTACTAATCTGTTAGCTAAAGGTACGCTTTTCTCATTCTTGTTTTCAGGAGTTGGGGAGAAGCAAGGAGAGGAAGGGATAAGAAGGAAAGATGGGCAGTTAACAGAGAAAAGAGAGGGGGCCCAGCTGGAGTGGCTCAGTTGGTTGAGTGTCATCCTGTGCACTGAAAGGTTGCCAGTTCAATTCCTAGTCAAGGTACATACCTGGGGTTGCAGGTTCGAACCCTGGTTGGGGCATGTATGGAAGCAGAACCGACTGATGTTCTCTCTCACAATGATATTCCTCTGCCTCTCTCCTTCTCGTTCTCTCTCTCCTTCTCCCCCCTCCCCACCTTCCTCCACGGATGTCCTCGGGTAAGGGTTTTAAAAAAGAGAGAGAGAAAGGGAGAGGAAAGTGGTGAAATCAGAAAAAGTAAAGGAGACAAAAAGGAAGAGGATGCCTAGGCAGGATTGAAATGTCTGAAGCCTAGACTTTGGGAAAGATTTATTTTTCCTTCTTGTTCCAGAACCAAGGATTTTTTTTATTTTTTCAAAGCAGCACTAGGAATTCCTCATCATAAATTTTAAATGAAGGGAACTTACTTGTCTAAACCTCAGACTAAATCAGTAGGCAGAAATAAAGTAAAGCTCCTCAGGGCTCCAATCCTCAGTTCTCACCACTGTCCTGCCCGAGCCCACCCCTCGCCTGGTTTAGGCTGAAGCCTGCAGAAGTCAGAAGACATAAAGGTTCTTCCACTATTCCTCTGCTTCTTCTACAAGGGTAACTCCAGGCTAATAAGCCCTGGAAGTCTAACCGGCCTGTGGATAAAGGGATACGGACAACCCTTCCCCACAGCACCATGCCATAAAAATGTATTGAACCATAAAAGGAAAGTGTTTCTCCTTTTCTGCTGAATTCCTCAAATGTGTGTAAATGAACTAGGATGAAGATGTAGATGGAGGAATCAAGGTCCCTTTTCAGAACTCTCTAGAGCAGTGGTTCTCAACCTTCCTAATGCCGCGACCCTT